TACTATTTTATAATGCATAATAATGTATAACAGACTACCATCATTCAGTTTATTGGATATAACTATAGGTTTAGAGTTTACTGCAATATTATATTATTATTAAACATTAAATTAAGTTGAAAAACGGTATATGTATAATGTAAATGACCATAAGTAGGGGGGGAGAGTTCTTTTGAGTTTTCGATAAAACAATGATTATATAATAATAAATTGTTTTAATTAGAATGTATGAAACAACTTCCGTTTTGCTGTTTGACATCCATTGTGTTCGTTAACCGACTTTTTATGGAAATACCACATTGACCTAGAAACGTCACTCACTCATTTAGTCACTATTCACTCTCAGTGTAATTTATTTTTAATTACAATTAAATATTTCGTTTTACTGTGTCGTGCATAAATGTAATTAATGTTTGAAGTTCTCAGAAGAAAGAAAAACAATCTCAATGGTTTTAAAAATCTAATATAAAATTTGTGTGAATTATTAGACGTTAACGATTTTTCTCGAATAAATCTAATCATTCAACAGAATTCAGTACGAAAAACATTAAAAATTATAACTTTGAATTAAATTTTAAATTACTTTTGAAACGTTAAAGTAAAATCCATTTAAAATACGTGCATTTTTTATTTATTTCATTTTTATTGCTACCTTTCTCTCCAATACTATAGGTTGACCGTTTAAAATCCCATCGTAAATATACAATTATGTTAGTAAAATAAAAATTACATGATAAATATTTTAATCGAAAGCATATTATTATAATATAATGGATGTGTTGTTCACGAGCTACTTTTCGTCGTTATAAAAATGTATAATACGCGTATCATAGGCATTTCGTTTACTTGAAACTGGTTGTAAATAAAAACGTATAAATAATATTATAATACTGAATTTGTGTAATGATGATTTGATGAAGCCACGAGCTGATCAATCACATAAAAAATACTAAAATATTAATAAAGAATAATGGACTTATCGTGTCCATCATTTTTTGTAATAACTTCATTCATTATATTGTGTTGGTAGTTTATGTATCTGTCATTTGATAAATGTTAGACGAATTTTAGAGTATTATTTTTATATTATCGTTTTATTCAAACATTCAAGTTATTACTGATTCGTCATTTTATCGAAGAAATAGACATTTCACCGTTAAAAAATATTACGAACAAATCAAAAATAAATAAATAAAATAGGCGCCGTACGACCTCTGTAAATTTTCCACAGCGCCACAGGGACTTGGAAATGTTTAACCAGCTCGACATTAATAATAATAATCGTGAACGGTTCATTATTATAACCGGTACATTTTTATCGATTCTGAATATAACATACGTTTACCAACAGAAACTTGTGTTTATTCGTGTGTGTGTGTCACTATTGCGATGACAAAAATATACATATGACAGCGACTACAACACAGTTATCACATAATTGTAGTTATGCATTTTTACACAATATTGTATACATAAAATATATGACCGAATTTCATTGTTTTTATCGCATTATCGTAAATCATTGACATTACTGTTGCTCAACAGCTTGTTTGAACGCGGATTGATACGGCCGTTCATAACGCGATCTAATACGAACGAACCTCTTCTTCGGACGGTCATAAAATCAATTAAAGCTGCGGTTATCGTCGCGAAGGAACTTCCGAACGCGCCAACCAATTATTTCGAACGTATGTAAAAAACGAATCAGTATTATACACATAATAACATTGTAAATCATATTATTTAATCATAAATTTTATTGATAGCTTTATTTTCCAAAAAAAAAAAAACTTACTACCATACTTTAATATTATTTTTGTAAAATATCGTCGTATATAATGACTGTGTTTTTTTTTAATTTTTAAACACTTAACATTTATATTATATATAAATTTCTATATGTGTATTTATGAAAATAGGTCGACGTGCAACTTTCTACTGAAACTCGATACAAGATTACGAGAATTTTTATCGTATTTATATGGTGTGTGTGTGTGTACGTGAGAGAGCGAGAGAGATAGTGTTGTATCCATCTATATGTATATATATAAATACGTATGTATATTTTTATGTACTCACTGATGGCATTTCTCTCAACTATTTCGGGGAGAGACAAGTAGTGTTCGTTATGATGTTATTACGTAACGACATCGCGCGTATTGAATTTTCCGATTGTTCATTATATTTATGTGCACCAGGAGTGTTAAGTTGTTAAGAAGACCAGTGATCGAGGACCTAATGGACGGAGATTTTAATGATACTCGTGACCTTGTACCAAACGGACAAAAATTCGATCAACGTGGTTCATTTGATGCCCATGAAGTCGCGTTGTGACTTTTTGTTATTTCCAGTAATATATAGCCGAAATATTATATCTATGTCGACACAATGGACTGTCAGCACCGTTGGCAGTTGCGCTTAAATTATCAAATGCCGTTTCGTTGATTGATATACACCATGTACGTATTTGATTGGATGAAGATGTCGTGTTTTATGATTTTTGCTTCACATTTATTTTCGCCGAGTATAGTAGATTAATGATAAATATCCGGTATATAGATAGATATTAAGTTAACTTGGCTGGCCTACACTCATTTGGGCTTTTCAACAATAATTATAACGAGGGAAAAAAATATAATACAATCGGATAATGGACTAATAAAACTAACGAAACTGGGTCGATTGTGAAAGGTAGAATTGAATTTAAACATAATAGATAAATCATAGAGTCCGAATGACCCGAATAATTCTAGTTTGATTTACTTCACTTCTCCGTGATATGCCACCGACAGCTGTCGTTGTTGTTGCTGTTTCCTGAATCGTCTCAAACTCAAATTCATAATAGGTAACGTCATGTTATGTATTCGTTTTCAGTTGTACTTTATGTTCTAAACGTACCTATAAATCGAAACAATTCATAAAAATATATACATCTTTTCGAAGTGATTATATCATGGACGACTTTCTCCAGTGATCTAATTACCCAGTGCCGTCGTCGTATCGTCAGTCAAATGTGAAGAAATGGAGGAAGAGTAAAAATAATACAACTTATTATATCATTTCGACAGTTGTCGTTATCAATCGTAATAGCTTAAATTTTTTTCTTAAGACTTTATCCACGTATGTAGGTATTCTTTAAGTTGATTTTTTCATCATTCTATTATAAAAATTTACGATTTTATTTCGACCATTGACTCTGCACGGCTCACGCTTGTATTGTTTACCATGAACGTTTTCATGGCACGTACAACGCTATATAATAACACATCTCATTGTAGATTTTTTAGACCGATTATAATTTATTTATTACTATACCTATTATATTATATAATGCACGTATACGATGTACAACTTGGCCGGTTTCAGGTGAACAAAGTTATACATACTTACCTTTAATATTATTATACACGAATTCGAATAAACGTTATTATAGAACACAGCGGTGAGAAGAGGTTGTTAAACTTGAATTATTATTATTATTATTATTATTATTATTATTATTATTATTTGTATTAGCCCAGATATATTTGTATTCAATTGTTTCACGTATTAAACGTTATTAAAAACCGTTTTTCTTTCCACTTCTATATCATTCTATGGAAGACCACCTCTGTGGACCGTTACGCAAAAGCCAATGCCCCCGGAGTGTTATTATTGTACTATCTCTGCGTGTGGTATTTGCAATTCAATTTTTTTACTTTGCCATTTCAATATTATTCAAAAGTTACCACAATAAATTATTTATTATTTTAAAGTGGATTTTATTTATAGAAATTTGAAGTTCTTCATATTTTTGTTATTGCGCACCATCACCAATCACTATGCACAGAGGTTTGCTTAATCTTTAAGAAAACTTTTCTTCTTAACACCTGCCGATGATCTTTATAAAACAAATAATTCACCAAATTAACTTTCAGTGTAGTTTCTTTATTATATCTCGTATTATTGTTCAGCAAAGTCGCCAGAATTATTATACTGTGATTTGTGTGGTGCATTTGCAGATACGGGAACTGACAGGACGATAACTTCAACAGCATGGTTATGATGAAAATATGTGATTGAAGAAAATAATCGTGAAGTTGCTGTATTAAAATATTTATTATTTATATAAACTTATATCAGTTTTAGGTCGTAACATTGTCGTGTATGTAAAAGACAACAAGAGTACAACTTACTGTGCCCTTAATAATGTATAATATTGTTGTTTGCCCAGCATACCTATATACTTACTTTTATACATGTCGCGATGACCGATAAGAAAGTATGCAAATTCTATATATTATATAAACATATTTATTATAATATATATATATTTATATATTGTAATATTTACGTATAAGACCAAATTTATCGCAAACGTTCAACAACAGATCGCGTATTGTACTGAACGCATTTACTGCCATTACCATGTTACATAATATGCGATGTCATATTATTATAATTTATAATACAGTTTTGAAATATCGACGTTTTTTTTCCATACAGTATTATTATACTTTATATCAATATACATCTATGACGTCTCGTTGACGGGAGGATGGTTTTGGAGGAGTGTGTAGGTTTTCGACGTCAAAGTAATACTTAGGAATTCGATTATCTTCTGACTCCGGAAACGGCAGAGATCGCGCCACGAATCGAATAAACGGCCGTCAGAGCTCCATCGTATATAATTAGCTTTGTGTATCTTAGTGGAAGACGTCAAGACTTGTTGCCTTTTATTTAACATACATTGTATAGAATAGGCTTAACAAGCCGTTACTAATGTATGAATACGATCTAATGATACACGCACGCACATGCGACAAAAGTAGTTTAAATTAGCTATACTCAACGTGTGTGTATACGTATTACAATATATACATATACCAATATATATATATATATATATATATCATGTACTCTGTGCCGTTTTATAATGCGCATATTATTATGTATAATGTATGTATAAATGTACGCAATACGTGTATACTTATGTCGATTTTTGTTTTTGCTTGTTACAGGTAAACTATGCACTGATGTCGTGTCGATATATCGAATAAACAAAAGCGACCCTGTATCCGTGAGTGTATTGTAACATGATTATAATATTATTGTTTATTTTTTTTTCACTTACAAACAACATGCGCGATGATCCGTCGTCAGCAATACAAATATTCACCATATCTAAAACACGTTATATTAAACATCAACTACACCACCGCTGCTGCCGGTATCTGCAGTAGTGTGGCGTTAATAATGTAAAATGCTAAAACATTAAGTATAATAATAAATTGGGCTTTGGCTATATATTTGTTTAGAAATAAATGTATAAATAAATAATACAAAGCATAGTAAAATATTCAACACAAAACGACATGTGACATAGGACGAAACATTATTGTTGCGCAGAATACAATCGTAATTGTAATAATATAGATAATAATAACGACAACGATGATGGCAATCACGCATAATGATATTACATATTATTACTTCACTCATCTCATTCAGATATTTTAATTTCACCCTGTACCAGAAAACGATCGTTGATTGACATGCCAAGGTGTTATTTGTATTCGTCGGTCGTGTTGTAAGCGCATAAACTATTACTTATTAGTGAAGAAGTTAAAACTGGTTTTCGAGAGCTACGTGTGGTAGTGTGGGCTCGCAAAGTAGGGGTTGTGGTGACGAGGAGACTTTATATGTCGAATGAGATCCATTCGACCAACAGAACGAGAAATCGAGAGAGTATCTACGGAAATTCAGCATCAGCTTCGATTATACACACACATAGATAGGTATTTAACCATCTTAATCTCATTTAGCTGCGGGCGGTAACCAGCCCATGTTATAATAGAATATAGACGTGACAAGATGCGCACACAAATATCAAATGTTCGTCACTGTTCACGAACACAATACAAACCTCAATATTATCTTATAGTAGACGACGACGTTATGATTTTTTTGACTGAAAATAATAATTTAAATAGTAAACAATGTTTACACAACAGTTCAGTGTATAATAAATAATAATTCAACGATATAATCATTCATTTCTGGTGTCGACACAATTATTTTCCGACGATTGGCGATGCAGCACCCGGTTCAAGGGCAGTGCTCGGGTTTCTGGTACACAAAAATAGACAAACACGACGCTAAGGGCACATGACGCGATGTACACCCAAATGACATATTTGTTGAATCCTAACAGGGCATTGGCATCGAAAAACGTGTACGCCACCAGGAACAAGACTAATTGGCCACCGGCGTAAATCAGACTTGAAAACCATTTCTGTGTGAGACATTTACAATGGTATTGAATAATACAATAAACTAAATTTTACATTGTTAAACTATTAATTATGTAATAAGCAGTGACGTAATTATCATTTTTTTATAATAATTTGTGAAAAAAAATTACCTGCAGCTTTTTTAAATTATGAAATAAATAGTTTAAGTACATAAAAAACATTAAACATATTAAACATATGACACTTAAGTAAATTCTCATAGTAATATATAGTTTGATCAATCTTATTAACGTTATGTCGTAAAAGCCGTTAAAAATTGAATGCGGATAAACGCCCTCATTATGCCCTATTACTCATTAACCGAATGAAACCGTTGAAAATATTATTAACGTCAATATTTTTCTGTACAATGATAGTAATGACAATCAGACGACAACGCGTCATATTAAGTACAAATGCAGATGCGTGCGTTTGCGCCATCCAACCCGGCCGGTTTATTATTAATTTTGAAAATGACACTATTTGATAATAATATTCTGGGTACTCACGTTGAAATAAACTACTTCTGCATAGATCAGCGGAACGATCGGTCCCCATCCTATGGAATATGAACACAAGTACAGACACACCAGTATGATGGGTACATATTTGTGCCACTCGTTCGATTCGATTGCTGAAGTACAGATGTCCGTTGTTGGGAAGAATGATTGGTAAAGCATCATTGACGCCAAACACAAGCCCATACTGATAGCTGACGCATTTAACATAAACTTACGGCCCAAAAACTCGACCAGCTCGACTGTGGTAAGACACAACAAGACCTGTGGGAAACCCGAAAAACGAATTGTTATGCGACTGAGAAACATTTGCATCAGATCTCTCGTTAATCAAGATGGAGTCAATTTTTTATTTTTGTATAACGAATGAGGCAAATAAATTATATTACCTACCAAATTTTGTTTCTGAAAATATGGTAACCAAGTTCTCTAAAGAAGACCAATATTTTAAGGGTATCGTAATAAATAGTGTCAAATAATTAATAACTTTGAAAAAGTATTTTAAATAAAGATGTTATTTTTATCAGTGAAAATTTAGTTCAAGATAATTATTTGTATTAGCCTTGCTAATATTCTAGGTCAGTGATTCAACTAATAGAGTAATATGTGAGTAAGCGCTTTTATTAAATAATGATGGCAAGGTATACAGTACATGCACTAGGAACAGGGTTGGTAAAAGGATTTAATACTGCCAAAACAGACAGAATGTAATAATTTAACTTTATAAACTTTTTAGTCCTTCCACGATTAAAAAAACTTGGTTTCGCTGTTGTCGTCACTATAATGTTTTTATAACAGTTTTATGTACTGATTCCAACATACAAAACGTGTACGATTATGTGTATATATTATATTCTAGTTAATTTATAATTTTTTTTTACGGCTCACTTGAGCTGCGAATACGATCGTGACGATCGTTTGTGTGTTGGCGTATACGCGTTCGTCGCTGTATCCTGCGACTTCAGTGGTCAAACCGAATCCACCGATAACCGATTTGGCGTGAAAAATCGCCGCACTTGCACCGCAAGTTTGCTGCAGCACAACAATTCTCATACCGATGGCAACAATTCTACAGATCAAACGCTTTTTGTTGTCACCGATCATGCATTCGTACTCGAACATGTATCTCTACTTCGTGAAAAATGACTTTAGAGTGTATTCAATTGTATCATGAGGTGACCGTCCACCGGGATTTTGAGTACTTCCACGAATACCTCAAGTGCCATGTAGTCCGAGTCCACGTCGTAGTCCGCGCCATTAACTCGACGTATAGTTGACTTGGCCTTTTCGGAATCACCATAACATTTATAAGCGTACAAAGGCGATTCGGGTAAGAAATTCGTGACGAAAATATGCAGAACCGGCCACACCATACATACACCTGTCAGCTGGGCATTCGTGACGATTGCGCTTAACGCGTGTGCGTAGAACATACCAAAACACACGAATGCATGATGAAACACTAGTGTCCGACCTAGGTGAAGAATAAAAGAATTGCAATATATATAATTAATACTCGATATGCATAAGTATCAATAACAAGTTTTAAGAGTGGCACATTTAAGACTATTTTTTGATGGTAATAGAGGGGGAAATATCAAAAAAAAAAAAAAAAATCCTCTTAGCTATACATTTGTCTTTAATAATTTTATACATATGTATTGTGCATACTATATAACCATACACATATTATAATATATTATCTCGTTATAATAGTTACTAATTACATTTTTAAAAATGTGTAAGTAATTAAATTCGTGGAATTTAACATCGTGTTTATTTGAAAACTAATCAAACCTGACGTGAAATATCAACAAAGTTCTCACCCCGGATACGAAAGTCGGTTATGTGCGCGATATACGTGGGTATTAGTAGCCCCAAGCCTCCGGTACCGATGCCGTGCGCAAGCCGAGTAGCCCAGACAGGCGTCCAGTCTACCTGGGATAGAAAAAGCCAACCGATTAACACGATTATGTCGCATGCGATCACCGACCATCGGAAGCCGATCATTCTCATCACTGGGCCCAGGATCAAGCCTCCAAATGTGGTCCCCAAGAAGTAGCATGCAGCTGCATCCAAGTACCAACCGGGGTCGTCGGTCTCACGATTTACGGTGCGATCGTTGTTGCCAAATGTCCGCGTCAGTTTTGTGGCCGCCGAATTCCATGCAAACGCAGTACCGATCACCACACCACTCAAACCGGCTGCAAACACACTAGTGAGATTAATTGACTAGATTTTTTTCCATATGTATCGTTAGTTTACGCTTTTTTAGGTAGGTACTTGTGAAGCGAAATTTATTAATATTTTTACATTCCACTTCAGTTACTTTAAAGAATTCAACGCGTAGGAAACACGAAGAAAGCCATAGTATACTTATTAAATAATATGTTACTAGATTACGAATCTTCAAATAATATTGATAGATTTACCGTATCCAACCTTGTTTATGCAGTGTTCGCTACACACCTACCTAAAATCGAATAAGAGAATTGCGGAAATCTCTGTGGAAGCGCTTTTTTGTCAATGCACATCGTCGGAAACGTCATTTTCAAAACGATAAGACTTTAATATGAATAATAATAATGTTATTTTGTTACGCGTTAACAGACGATTTTGGCAAACCTTACATAACAAAAACGAAATATTATCATTATTATTATTTCCACGGTGACGCGTGATAAATTTAATATTGTTTTCTACACGGTACGAAGTACGGCGATTTCTGCAGCGAGCTCGACGTCTTTAAACTAGGTAGCTGAAGCGGCCAACATTAATTATGTCATAAATTTCGTTCTTCTTGTCAAAGGGCCCAAAAGTTTCACGTCCTCTTGCCCGGTTTATCTCATTATAAATGTTTACTCCGATTATGCTTGTTTCACTCTCACACAGACACATATATACACGCAGTCGAATATAATGTATACGTATGTATGTATATAAATCGTGTACATGGATGGCGCAAGCACAACTGGCAAACAAACACATAACCATCTTAATCTCTTTAAGCTCTTTCGGGCTTTTGGAAAGATAACAGAAAGTTCAGATCCAGTTTTAGATTACTGCGTGACGTTTAAAACACGTATATTATGAGCTCGTGATAAAATTATACGCTATCATCGTACTTCCCCCACCCGTCGGAAACGCGAAGGGGACGATAACCTATCAGCGGACTTCGCGCAATAAGAAAATCGAAACGTTTTCGCCGTTTCGGTGAAATCGAACAGTATTATACACTATTACCGTTGGTAAAATATCCGGTGTAAAATCATGGTGAAAAATTACTATCGGTATTGTTTCCTATATGCATACAATATATTATAATATTACTTAATAGTAAGTTATTACTACGTATGTAGACGTCATCTAGACGTCTACCGCTGCATGTGTATTACTCGGTCAAGAGAGATGCATATTATGCATGTAATATCATATCATCGTGTATCGTGGCGTGTGCGTGCGTACATAATACAATGATATTATTATGTTATAATATCAAATGGAAATGGAACACACCGAGTCAAGGACTCGTCATCGTTGTCGTCGTCCCGCGTAAGCGTTATCTGAGGAGAAAGTTCACTAAACATATTATGATGTTTTAATATCTGACCGATCACTGCTGCCACCGATGCGTCACAACCACAGCAACCGCGTGTAAATATTATTAGATTGACCTCAACATGCGTACAACGTTTCTACATATTGATTTAATACTGATCTAGGATTTTAATATTATTAAATATTGCCATTACTGTTATCATTTAAAAACAATAAAAAATTCAACGATTATAAGAACGGGGGGTCTTGTTACCGTGATGTTAGATTTATCATCGGTACCTGTTATCTTCTATCGTCTATAAAATGGCGGATGATTCGTCCAAGACATCATTGTATTAATATAATTATTATTTTTATTAAAATATTATCCAATGAGAATTATACGTATTATTGTAACGTATTATAAATTAAATAGTTTCAATTACATAGGTATTCATGTATTATAATAGGTAAGTCATCTGAGAAGGTATCTCACCTATAGTTTTGTAGATGTTGCTCAGATCTGGATTGAAGAATTCTATTATTATTATTATTATTATATTATTAGTTATTATTATTTCCGATTTTATCCTACGTAAAAAACTTATGATTTTTTTTTTTTTTAATATAACCAGCATATTATTACGCAAAATCGTACAAAATATTTACTAAGCTACTAAGATATTTTGTTTTTCATTTTTTTTTTTTTTTTTTTTAACGAAACATTTACTTTATTATATTAGGTTTGATAAATATACGCATTGAACCACTTTATATATAGGCACAGACATAATAGACTTCGTGGAAAATGGAGTTTGTTTTGTGAACACTCTGTTAAAGGAAATTGAATATTAAACATGTTACTTCGAAATGGAAAATTCATTTTAAACGTGCGTGGATGAGATAATAATTTCGCTTTGAAATTGAATAAAAATGTCTTTTCAATTTTTTTTCTTGTATTTTATTTTTATTAAGTATACGAGTACCTACGTTAAAAAGAATATTTAGCGAATTATTTTTAAAGTTTTAAATGGAGGTTAGTAAATTATAATGATGAGGATTTTTTTTTTTTTTAAGTATTCAATCAGATAAAATTTTAATACAGACCAAACTTATGGATATGAATAATTATAATGTTTAAACTGCATAACTAATAACATGTTACATTTTTTTTTTTTTTGCCTATATTACACTTCTGCGGTTATCACATGGCTATTTTAACTTGATTTTATTTGGATTTTATATAAAAACCAATATATAGTTACGCCACATACACCGCGTTATATACGCATCTACAATTAATTCTAAATAATGAGCGCGTATAGAAGCATCTTAGTAAGAGAAACCGGTAATAAATTACGAATGACTGATGTGAGTCTCACGACCTTGACCTTTGTATTACGTCCGACGAAAGTGACGAGGCTTGCTATTGTGCGTACACAAAACTTATTCACTGGAATGTCATCTCGCTGCACAATGCCTTAGGTATTTGCAAATGGTGATGTGAAAACAGTCTAGTCAATATAATCGAACGTGCGGAGGACCTGGAGAAAATAAAATAAGTTGGTGGTTACGGTTTTGCTCAAGACTGATAAACGGAAAATATCATGGTTATCCAATCGTTATTATTGCCTATATTTACATATCACATAATATGCGTACCGTTCGTTCATTTTCAATAGGCATGTACAATTCTTGTTAAAACTTTGTGAACTATTATTGTTATATATGACGTGATAAAACTACTTTAGATTTTATGTAATCAGACGATACGAATTGAAAAAAAAACATTTAATCACACATTGGTTATGATTGCAGATGACGTAATTTTGCGATATCTGTTCAGAAAATTTATTTTATTTCTCGTTCGTCACCTTTCTAATATAGTTTTGAGTTTTTGACTTCTTCGGTTGCATAATTATTTTCTCATCTACGATCGTTGAAATGTAAATTAGTCACAATTGTAATAGAGAATGTGACTGCTCTGGAAATAAAAAGAAAATATAATTTTTTTTTTTTAAACATGACTTAAAAATAACATTGGAAATGGAATATAATACATTTTTTCCGTCTATTTTTTCGATCAAGACAAAACTGTGACTAAACCGTGTAACCGAATCCGACTCGGATGAAAAATAGGTATTAGACATACCATTACGTATAGTTTTTCCATAATATCATACCGATCGATATTGTCGATGAAAAAATACAAAAATCCTAAAGTTAAATGTTCTCGATACAGTTTTTTATTTATTTATTATTATTTTATTTTTTATTTTGTATCCGGTCACTACAAAAATGTGCTTTGAGGTGTAACATAGTTCATGATAACAAAAAAAAGAAAAAACTCGAATTACGAACACGTTTTGAGCCAAAACCAATCGACAAAGTTTTTATGTAATGAGTATAAAATCATCGAAAATTATACATTTTTGATTTGGTTTGGGTGTACAATATATTAACATTATTGAAAATAGTATCTTGTTATGTTACCCTGACACTGCTATAATCTTCACAAATCATTGAATGTTTTCTAAGTAAATTATACATGCATATTTCGTTACAAAAAGACGAAAATGACTAAGGCTTTTGGCCTTGTGCTCAAATTTACTATGAATACAGACAGGGTCGTATGGAGAATTACTTACAACTTTGTATTAGTTATTAGACAACACAATAAAAACCTCCAAAACGTTAAAACACAATTGTTGATTAGTTAAGCAATACAAATAAAAAAACAAAATGCAGTACAAAATGATTTTTGCATATAAACTTCTTACTAAAACGTTTTATTCGTAGCCTAGTTTTAATTAAAATTATCCGACATACTTTATGAATCTAAATAAATTTTACTTGTGTAAATGTATATTTCATTGACCTATTTAATGTATAATTAATTTGTTATCGTATAAATGAATTCTACAATGAACACACAATTTTGTGCAATTAACAAACTCTTTACGCGTGTGAATAATAATAAGCAC